ACTTCATGCAGAAAGAACACACTCTTGTATTACAGCCAAGCCCTAGTCCGGGTAAGACGAGTCATAATCAGAATTACACGCTTTAGTGTGTCATTGGAGAAGGATGTCAATAATGACGGTTATAGCCAAAGGGCACTTTTTCTTTTTGACTGAGGACATAGCCAAAGAACACAATCACTGACCTTTTTAATGATATTCTGTTTTCCAGGCGAGTGGCACTGGGAGTCCATCGATGGCAGTGTGCGTGTGCCACTGCCCCCTCCCTCCGTTTCCTCATTTGTCCATCAGTACGACTTATGTGTAACAGGGGAGGGGCTGGCCAGACTCACCTGTGAAACCCAGCTTCTTCACAACCTTCTGCCTTACATTCAAGTGTTTGCTCGTGTCAGTCCAAAACAGAAGGTAGGGCACAGAAAACCACACGCGTACAACGTTTATAAATCGCGGCTACAATGTAGGTGGATGGCAAAAAATGTTTAGTTCTCTCAAACACCAGTAGCCATTGTCAGAAGGTCAAGCAATTTATTTTTTAAAAAAAGAGCATATGTTTTTTGTCGACCAATGATAAATTATATCCTTCACAGACAAAGCACAGAAAAAAAAACTAAAACTAGCAAAATACGTTTTTTTAAACTAGGGAACACCTCTCATTTGGCAGATAGTTGAAACAAACTCATCTAAATTGCATTTTCTGAAATTGTGTGTATATATATATATATATATACATATATATATATATGGCATCTGTATTTTGAATTTGACACATTAATGGTACTGTATGTGACAATGTAAAAATGTCTAATGGTGAACATATGGATGTTATTAGCTATAATAGGTTCCTCTTTTTTTTCAGGAATTTGTCATCACAAGTCTAAAGGGGCTGGGTTATGTGACGCTGATGTGTGGTGATGGCACAAATGATGTCGGAGCTCTCAAACACGCCCACATAGGTACGATTTATGAAGCAGCCAGACTGAAGGCACGCGTCCCTCTGTATGAGCCGTCAACAGTCTGTAGTGATCATCCTTTTTCCTCAGGTGTTGCCCTGCTAGCCAACGCACCTGAGCGCATGCCTGAAAGGAAGAAACGGGGGAAAGAGAAGGAGGCTCCAGCAGTCGAACCCAGACCGTTACCACCTGTCAGCTCAGGAAGCAAATTGAGCTCGAGGGCAGCCAGGCAGCGAGCGATGACCCAACGAGAAGAGCAGCTTGCAGCACAGAAGGGTGGGTTTCTTCAAGAAGGGCCTCCTCTCTGATTCTGCGAAGAATTGACTAACTTATGCAGCGTACAAACCTGGAGTCTCATGTTAGCCTCTTTCACGGTGACCAATGTTAATGGAATCTCAAAAACAAGAATAATCAAGCCATTCCGTTATAGAGCACTGGTCTGAACTTTGGGGTTTATTTTGTAACAGGAAAGAATCAACCAAGTCCTACGGGAGCTTGAAGAGGATCAGGTACAAGTAGTAAAACTGGGTGATGCCTCCATCGCTGCTCCCTTCACCTCCAAACTGTCCTCCATACAGTGCAGTAAGTAACGCATGTTTATGATTTTAGCTATTGACACAAAGATTTCAGGTTGAAGCCGCTCCCCACCTCTGAAACTCTTTAACCCCCCCCACACTCCCGCCCCCCTCAGTCTGCCATGTAATAAAGCAAGGCCGTTGCACTCTGGTGACAACGCTCCAGATGTTCAAGATCCTCGCTCTCAATGCCCTGGTGCTGGCCTACAGCCAGTCGGTACTCTACCTCGAGGGGGTCAAGTTCAGCGACTTCCAGGCAACCCTGCAGGGCCTGCTCTTGGCCGGATGCTTCCTCTTCATCTCGAGATCCAAGGTGAGAATTTCTGACTTTTGACCGATGGTTTTCCTAGCACAGTCATCTTTACGGAGTCTTCTATGATGACACATATCTGCTGTTTTCGATGGGGGAAAAAAAAACATTAATGATTTTTTTGTTGCTACCTCTGTTTACACAGCCACTGAAAACGTTGTCTCGAGAGCGTCCCTTACCAAACATCTTCAATCTTTATACCGTGTTGACTGTGCTGCTGCAGTTTGCTGTACATTTCTGTAGTCTGGTGTATCTCTACAAAGAAGCACAGAGCAGAAGTCCGCCCAGGTAAATGACCGTATGACAGAAAGAGGATAGAACAGCAGTTCTGCTTTTAAAAGTGAAACGTTTACATTACTAACCATACATCAATACTTTATCATTTCTCTCTTCCTTTTGCAGAGCGGAGCAGTTTGCAGATCTATACAAAGAGTTTGAACCGAGTCTCATTAACAGCACTGTGTATATAATGTCCATGGCCATGCAGATGGCCACCTTTGCCATTAACTACAAGGTACTTTTATTAACCACCAGTGTTCATCGTCTGTGTTCTTTGAGTATAAACTCACAGCATGCCTTGTTGCTTCCAAAGGGTCACCCCTTCATGGAGTCTCTCAGCGAAAATCGCCCCCTACTATGGAGTATTGCTCTCTCAGGTTTAGCGATTGTGGGACTTCTTACTGGTTCCTCTCCAGAATTCAACGAACAGTTTTCTCTTGTAGATATTCCAACTGAGGTGAGCTGACATCATTGTACCATAAATTGGTTTGTCAAAGTCACTGTGAAATAATGATGTATTCCATAAGTTAACCTGCTTCTTGTTTACTTCTTTGCAGTTCAAATTAATCATTGGCCAGGTTCTGGTTGTGGACTTTGTTGCCGCTCTGCTAGTGGATCGTGTCTTGCAGTTCCTGCTGGGCAAAGGAAATCTCAGGATGCCTTCTTGAACTCAGTGCCAATAGCTGCCCTAACCAACAAAGCTGTCATGGAAGAGATGACTTTTCTGGGAAGAGCAAAAGGCGAATTGAAGCTATTGTGACTTCCAAAAGACAGCCGAGACAGTCATGGCGTGCAGCACGTTACACTCCGGGCGTCCCTTTGCTCGTCCCGCTCTGCTCCTCCTTAACCATCTGTGCTTCTGCATTTTCATCAGCTCTTTTCTTTAATTATCTGTCTATTTCCTCATAACCCTTTTCTTTCTACATTTCTCTCTATCTTCATCTGTCCCTCCCCGCTGCAACACAAAGCCATGACGACAGCAGTATTGAGCGGAGTGCAAAACTGTGAGCCAACCAGAGTGAAACATACAGGAACACAGGAAAGGCAGTTCTCCAAGAGAAGTGCTAAAGTGTTTTTTTGATTCCTCTCCTTGATTTTGTAAAAAGTGAAAAACATCTCTAACAGACTTATAAAGACTTACAGATACAAATTATGAAGTCTGCCAAGTGTTTTGTCAAGTACTGATGTGTCGGCGCGTGGACAGGATGAGCATATACTGCTGGTCATGAACTATCCTGTTCCTATAAGCAGGTAAGTAAAGAATAATCAAGGTATGAGAATATAGTATAACTGCATAAAGAAGGATTTCTAGTGAAACATTGGATCAATGGACAAATAACACTGGCAAAAACAATGAAACATAAAGAATAGCATGTGGAAGCTTGTGAACTATCAAACAAGCTGGTCTTCGAGATCAGCCTTAGATAAATGTCTGCTATTTACCTTTAATACAAAACTTTTGTTTGCTGAACAAACAAAAACATCTTAAACAAATAACATTTACACCAAAAATAAAAAGATAATTGTACCAAATATTTAAGCAATATCAAGCTTTTAGCGGTCCTGCAAACCCCAAATGTTAATTACGGTTTCCTTTTACCGGTAGTAACATGATCAAACACATCATTTGTTGACACAATCGTTAATTCAAAAAAAGCCTTAAAATGCTCATAAAAAGGCTGACAAATCAAGGTAGGAAGGGGGAGATTTGAGTTGATGAAAAATATTGTCAACATCATCTAGTTCTGAAACAATTTAATTTGTTATGCACCCTCAGATCATTTAGATTTATTTTCCCATATAGATGTAGTTGTAGGAGTACCTAATAGTGACTGAATACATTTCAATAAGATGCAATGAACTGGTGTATATTCTCAAAAGATACAAAAACAAATTTTATAATCCAACTAAATGATTTAGTGGATAAATATATGTATAGTTGTTTGTCAATCTATGTAAAGATCACATTCAGAGGTCAGCAAAGCGAATGTTTCTCAGGGGACGCTGGAGGCACAAATTGAAGATCAAGGGTGGTACACTTTAAGCGCACCTGCAGAAATGATACCCTAAGAAAAGAGAAAATGTCATGTATCAACATAGAGTAGGTGTGATTCCCTGAAAAGCTTTGGTGAGTGTTGGATAGACTGGATAGGGGGGACACGCATGAATGAAAAGTAGTTTGAGAGAAAGGCCATTTTAGGTACTGTTCATTACTCTGCCGATACATTGCAAAGAATGACCAAATAACCAGCGGTTATGCCAAGAAAAAAAAGTTGAATCTGTTGATCACAAGGTGTTAAACTCTGGAGGCCAAAAAAACAGAACTGTGGGGAACCGTGCTGATGAACTCTTCAGCTACATATCACAAATCCAACCAATATCCACAAACCGAAATGGGCCCAGGATTGCCCCTGCAAACTTATATATATCAACCCTTGCTTTAACTTTATCTACAGGGTTTCAGAACTAGATGAATAGATTTCCCCACCCCCAAGGCCATACGCAGAAACAACTGTAATTGTGGCCTATTAAAAAATATGATTTTTTATAGTATTTTCCAATATAGAACTCTTTAGTGGATGAACTCTTAAAATCGATCGTTTGTTTTTCTATGTTTATAATTATGAGCTACTCTCGTTGCCATACAGGGACATTTGTTAAGTCATTTGACCTACGCTTGAAGTCAGTGGATAACCGTACAACTCCTAAAAGGTGACAACCACCCACGACTTCATATCTTCTCGTGGAGGGTTTATTTCCTAAGCATCATTATTTATTGATTGCAAATAAAACTAGAAGAGATTTAAATAATAACATTGCGAGTGCCTCTTTGCCTCGAACCATAGTCGCGCGTGCGGTCGCACTACATTTCCCATGGTGCTTCGCTCAGAGGGGCTGGGCCTCTTGGGCGCGCGCGCTGTGGAGAAACATTTGAAAGAAAAAATGGCGGATAAACATTCGGCAGCTTCACAAGATGGGTTTGTGTTCTTTGTTTTCTTTTACGGTTGTGACTAAATTGATATGCATTGACAAAATGCAGTTACGCCTCAGTTTTTCCCCAAAACAAAATATTGTCAAGCTGGCTAAAAAAACTTACTAACATACACGTAACAACGTATCACCCAAACACCATTAACCAAGTTAAACGTTGGTGTTACAAAAAATGTTCTTGCAGTTGCGGAAATGTCGCAGTTGATGACAACGTCAACGCTGCCCTGAATACGGTGAGTTATTTTAATTTACATTTTAAGCCAGGCACCCAACCTCGCCTCTACTAACCTAACGTTATGAACCGACTCTATTCGTGTCGACGCCCCTTAACCTTAACTCTTTCTGCGATGTATCAAGGTCGACTCGGAGAGGCAGACATCGAAAAGATGCTCCCCCACGAGCCCCAGCACGCCTCCCTCAAACAAATCCCCCCGTACCGTCTTCCTGCCAACCAGTGCAACGAGCCCAGCTGCAGCGGGAGAACTGGCGGGAGCGGACCATCCAAAGACGGGGACGGAAAACAAGGAGGGACCCTCGAGTCCCTCCGACCAGCCCTCTGCACGGAGGAAATCCTGGAGGAGAGCCACTATAACCCGACGCTCTCTCCCTGCCCTCCTCAACCCCTATCAAGGTCAGCTATCTTTTCTTTCTTCTTCTACCGTCTAAACAAGAATGCATTGTTATTGTTGTGTAAATCCTCATGTATGTGTCTATTGTAGTTTTGTGTAGGAACATAAGTACATCCTTATCACAGCAAGAGAGGCTTGAGGAATTGATGGAGGCTTCAATGAAGGTGAGTGTGGTCGAGTCCTAATTTTAGGCTAGAATTAGTTGTGACGAAATGTGAAAAATGAATTAAGCACACACAACAGGTGAGTTTTAATCTTTCTATATTGATCTCAAACAGTCAATTCTAGTCTTACTAAACCTACCAGTGGTTGTAATAATGAATGGGTAGGCCCTCTATTACTAAATGTGTGAGAAGTAACAAAAACCCCACACTTATTGGTTTGTAGGGAATAATTACTGTTTTTGCATTGTATTAAAAATATTGTATTTAATTTAACACAACTTGAATTATCTATCACTATCTCTACTGTGGTTTTAAGTACCCACCTACTGTCCACACGATAATGTAATGAAGTAATCATGTATCAAAATGAATAGCTCTTTGTCTAATGGTGTTTTGTTTTGTCTGTAGCTAGCAATAGAAAGAACTCAAAGTGCATTGCAGTCAGTGCCAAACACCTCATTGGAGTCTTTTCAAAAACAAGGTAAGTGCTTGCAATACTGCATTTGGCTACATTTCATATAGCTCTGTATTTGAACTGAATCGCTGTCGTAGAAATATTAAGTTTGTGGTGTTCTTTTGTGCAGTTGTGCACATGCAGAAAGAGTGGAGTTGTCTTGCCAAAAGCATACGCGATGAACTAGAGAGTCATCAATTCCCTGCTATGACAGCCAGGTATTGTAGATGTTTTATACATTTAATTCTTTGCATGGGTTATATATTGTTTTTTTTAAATGTTTTTTTTAACTTACAGATTAATTTATGATACTGGATTTATTTGCTGTATTCTTTCAGTTCTAGTGATCCTGTAGTACAGAACGCCATGGAAAAGGTCAAGAAAGCCATCAATAGGCAAGTTCTCCTTAGTATAGATACATCACATCCGAAGTAGTAATGTGGAACATATTTTCAAACTTAGAAACACAGATGGTGTGGCCTACCACATGGGATTCTTTAGTTTACAAGCCTGCTTTGGGTTATAGGTTCCAGGCTGAAAGTGAGTCGTGGGAGGCACTGTTGATCAAACACCGTAGTAAAGCAGAGGAATTGGAAAGGTAAACATGTGTACTGTTATTAAGGAATACTGTATTTACAATTTTGTCCACACAATCCTCTTAATTGCGTATCCATTATGTGCTCTTTATTCGTTGCAGGAAACTGGAGCAGGGCCAGAAAGGAGGTGTAACATTGGACTCTTCATCTGTGGCCCAGTCCTCACAGTACCGTTTCATACAGAGTAAACCCGACTACCAGGGTCTCCTTTGTAGACAACAGCCCATGCTTCACACTATGGCAATGATTGTACGTGGGCAATGTATTTATTTTTATCAGAACATCAAAAATCTATTAATTTAAATTGACTATTTCAGCTAAAGTGGAAAGCTGTATGGTAATATTGTTGAAAAAACAATCAAACTGTTATACCATTTTGTTTGTAGATGGACACTCAGAGTAAAATGGTGAGAGAGCTTCTGTCCATCAAGGAGCAATCACAGCTTCTGGTGAAAGAGACCAGTGGCCGATTGGGTAATGAGTTAATGCTTTTATTTACCTTTTAATGTTTTCATGCAATAATTGAATATAATTCACAAATGTGTCGAAAATTGGGTTCCATTTTCATTTATTTTTTTCTAACAGCGGCAGAGGCAGGATTCCAGGATATTTCCCCTGACCTCATCAGGAACCTCATTGCAGCACCTTTATCCTCTGCAACTTCATAGTCCCTCTGGCAGGATGCAAGCAATGAATCATCTAATGACTTGTTTATGATTCTCGTATGCATACTTACTGTTAGTTTAGCTCCAATATCTTGCTCAGTCCTTGTTGTCGCAATTTATTGGAGAAAGTAAGCTCTAAATGCCGAATTTCTGTATGCACCCCCCCCCCTCCCCACCTACCAAAAAAAAAACAATCAGGAGGGACAGGTTATAGAACTAGCTGAGGTAATGCTTGTGTTTGGCCAGCAGGTGGCACTAGCTGGCTTTACAATAGCATGGGAAACCTTGGCAAATGGCCACTGGATTTTTCGGTTCGGCCTTAATTAAATGTAATTATTCCTACCTGTAAACCCTGAAACTGTTAAGACCTGTCTGTCAGCTGTTGGAGATAAAGGAACAGAATGGATGGCGCAGAATACTCTGCCAACAGGGTTCTTGGTCATTGCTCATAAAACAAACATGAAATAGTCAAATATAATGACCGTCTGGAACAAAACTGAATTTGTCTTTAAAAATGGTTTTAATGGTCTAGTGACAAGTCTGATTACTACCATTTTATAAATATCTTCACAAGTGACAATGCAAAGACTAGCTGACACAAGATTACTTGCATAGTGTTATTTTCAAAGAAGTGTAATTAGACCTATGAACATTAACTTAAATGATTGTAAAATACAAAAGGGTTGTAGTGCTCTACAGTTTAGTCCGGTTGATTTATACAGTCTTTTTTTTTTACAAGCTCATCTTCAGCACATATATTCTCTTGGTGCTGCATCTATTTCACTTCATTGGTGTCCCCTGACCATTCAGGAGGAGGCCCCTCCCCCATAGTGACTCACCCCCATCTCTTGCATTTGGCTGGGTCACTGATGCAGAACGAAGCTTTGACATTGTACCAGTCAGTCAAAGCTTTGTTCTCTATCACTCCTATCTCTTGGACCCAGTCCCTCATTAAGGTTCATACTTATTGGTTCTCTGGTGATTGCAGGAGGAAGAATTTCCTTCTTGCCTTTTGCCAACAATAAAAAATATTGAATGGCTTTCCTTGCTTTGCAGTTATGGTTTGAAACATGGAGTATTTTGAATTTTCCTTGAGATGGTATTCAAGGGAGTCGCTAGAGAGAACAGGGACATGCACAGAGACGACAAGTGGGGTTGTGACCGTGATAGTTGTGAGCAAGGGAGGATGGTGCACAGCAGGAAAGATCGATTCTTATTTAGATGAAAATGAGGCTTGATGCTTCTGAGGGGAGAGGAGGGCAACTTTAGCATCTAAATGAATAGAGGTTTCACAGAAATTACCCTTAAATGAATCACTAACAATGAAAGGTATTACGAAGTTTACAAAGCCACTGGCTTTGGGGTTAGGTGATAATCCCTGCAGCTCTTCACTTACAATTGCATTATACAATGTTGCTTTAAACATTTAAACCACTCAGTGTCCCAGGCAAATGGCATGTTATTCATGTTTGATTTGAATGCAGTCCATATTTGGATAAAGGTGCCTTGGGTGTGACCAGCCACCTGGTTTGAAAACTACTTTAAATAAGAAATAAAAGGATGGTTCTTTTTTTTATTATGTATGAACACTTTTTGTTCTATCTAACTGCCCACTTTTTATATGATTGTAACTTTGGTTGGAGTAGGTTTAAACTTTTTTTAGGGTTAAAAATCCCGTAAACAACATGAAAATGTGAATTGTGACTTGCAGCCTATTATATGCACATGCAAACAGCAATTACTGTTTATGCTCGCTGTATTCTCTATTCTTGTTGTCTCTAACTTTAGATTGATTATCTCCAGATTGTGGTAGATGGATGTGTGGAGAGTCAGCATAAACCACTGCCAGTTTGGTCCTACTCCCTCATGCACACCCATCATCTCTTCTCAGTACAGCAAGGCTGGCTGCAGCTCTCCTCCACATCCATTCAGCCAGCCATTCGTCTTGGAAAGCTGTCTCTCCGATCTGAGTGATAAACTACAGCAGAATTGCCCAGTTTGCAAAAAAACAAGGACACTTGTTTTCAATCTGTGCTGTCAACATTTTCATACCGAAAACTGATGGGATGTTTCATTCATCGGGGGTTTAAGACAAGAATGATATTCTTGTGTAGGACTGTTTTGCTTTGTGGTGGAATATTGGTCTTTTAAAGACGACATATATATATATATATATATATATATATATATATATATATATATATATATATATGTGTGTGTGTGTGTGTGTGTATAAAGGTCATTAACTTTTACACAAAACCTATGAAATTACACTGATTCTATGTGAGCATATGCATTTCACTACTTATTTTCTCTCATTCAACACACTTGAGGGGATATATATGAAGTGGCTTGTTGAATTCATACCATGCTGCATTTTCTCAATAAAACAATCGTTAAAACATGTACAGTGGCAGAGACTTTGATCATTGACACGTTTACAACCGTATGTAAGGTGATTGAAGTGAGATCAACTAGCACACTCTCCCCTTTTAAATGCCTAACAGCATTCATTTAAAAGTTTTGTTTGGAAAACATAGCATGTACGTAGTCTCACCGTACATTAATCGAGAAAGGGGTTTGAACCGATTATACTACCAAGCAATGCTGATGACGTAAGGGGCTATCCATTTGTCATGGCCGCACTAGAGGAAAATCCGGTCACCTGGAGGAATAATACAGATATGCGCTCTTAAACGCGGCGTTACATAAATAAAATCGATGCACTGGACCAGCTGATGTAGAAATGTATTTGCATTAGACGCATTTCTAAATGAACCCACTGCTGCGGGGCGCTGTGAGTTCAATGGTCAACGCGACGCACGCAGCTCGCGCAGCACAGAACGTCCCACATACTCGCGCGACATCACCAACAACAATGGCAAACGCGAGCCGACAGACCCGCACGCTCCGGCGCTGAACCCACGTCATATTTATAGTTTCAATTTTTAATTGGCCTTTTTTTAGTTGTTGTAGTTTGGTCAAGGCTGTTCGACTACTGCTATTATTCCTCGTTAATTTTTTTTTTTTTTTTTTAAATTTCGAAAATGTGCGAGGCGCTGTTGGCAAGCTCACGCAGTCCGTGCGCGCGTGTCCCTGCTGCCTTTCTGCTGGGCTGCGGCTACTAACCTAGCTGCCTCTCACTCGGTGGTTAGCTAACGTTAGCCTGGCCGCGTTTATTGACGTGAGGTGCGGGGGGGGGGGAAACACCAGCGAATGTAAAGCGTGTCCGCGCGATCCGTTTCATGACAACAGCCCGTAACTGTTTTTTAGTCGTTGCTGTTGGTTACGGCGAGAAGCGTCGTATGGTTTGTCGTGGGATACACTTTGCTGGCTAGCTAACAGGCTAGCTATTTGTGGGTGCTCTTCGGCTGAGGGAAACGGCGAGTTTTTTTTTCTTTCAAAGTATGGATGACCAGACCAGGATGATGACGGGTCTCACCGGACTCGGTGGACTAGCACAAGCCGACGTCGGTGACCCGGACTCGGTCCGGAAACAGCAGTCCCTCGGTCAACCTCAACAAGACATAGGGGATATCTTACAGCAAATAATGGCCATCACCGACGAAAGCCTGGACGAAGCACAGGCCAGGTAAGAAAGGCGAAGAGCCATTTTCCACACATGATAGCTAAGCTAAAGTGCGCTGTGTGTGTCTTATTTTTCCTTCCTCAAGAGCTCAAGCTTTTGTGTGCAACCTTCCCGTAGATAAAGGCAATGCGAGACCTCAACATTTATGCAACTTTACGTTACACTGTAATCCGTTTGCTAAACCGGTTCCTGCGTTACATTAAGCGTAACTTGAGCGTTACCGTGCTGCTGTAGTTCGGAAGGTGGTTCTTTGTTACTTCAAATCGTCCTTTTATTGTCTGCTGTAGTTTGTAAACACGCTCGCTTGTTCGAAAAAGGGCGATGACGTTTTTACATAATTGGTACACGAATGAAGGGTTAAATAAAAAAAAGTTATCCTATCGAGCCTTTTATAATGGCCGTCTAAAGTGTGCATAACTACTTAACTAACGTTCAAGCTGTGTTTCCAGGAATCGACCTTTTAGTACAAAATAGTATTTTCAGGCCACAGGATTTCATTAGCCCCCGCATAAAGAAAACAAATCCTACATATTTTATGAGTTTGTTTAATCCTTCCATTGGCTCGTATCCCGTTGGTGACGCAAATTTCGCTTTCACGCCAAATCAGTTGCTGTGACTTCAAAGAATATGTCGTCAACACACTAAACGCTTTTTAAAACGCCGCATGTTTTGGGAGGGAACACGGGTTTATTGGTCATATCGTAAAAGCTTTAACAAATAACAAGTAGCGCCATGGCAAATGAGTTTAGCCTAATTAGAACAACATACATCTAATACGACGATAACATTGCTCATTGAAATGCAAATGAGCCGTAAGGCTGTTTCCCAATTGTCCCCTTGTAAAGGACCGAGTGCTGTCCGTGAAGTCATTCATTCATTTAAACCTTCTGTTTATGTTTGAGGTATTTTACGGATCATCATTTTTGAGGAGCATACGTTGCAGTGAATAACTGACCTGCACTCATTTGCCATGTGGCTTCAAGGAGCAGTTTGAGACGAAGCCACAGTATTTCAACAATAGACAACCGTCCACTGCGAGACTGTGGCCACGGCGTGATGTGTCATTAGCTAGTGATTTTCCACCCCAACATTTGACCACCTGGTTCTCTTAATTAATTCACTCCTCTTTCGCTCCCTCCCTCCCTGGTGTTCATCCTTTTCATTGTGTGCTGGGTGCAATCAATTCTCCTATAATGTGTACGCGACTGCAGCTGTCCGCAAATCGAGTTTCTATTAATGAGATGGTGGTGAGGGGGAGGGATGATGCTACCAGCAGCTTATGAACACTGGGATATTACTTTTTTTTTCAATACAAGTTTTGAGGGCTCAATTAGATGTTATTTCGTTGACAAACACTTTTGGACACTTTTGAATACACTGTGTTTAGTTTTGGTATCTGTTTTACTGTGCATGTTTTTTTAGTTTGTATTTTAGATCTTATTTTATATTCTATTATTAATTTAAACTGTACATTATTCTCCTTTGTTCCATATATGCACCACCCACCATTGCAATTCCTTTGGTATGTCCAACATACCTGCAAATAAATGTTTCTGTTTCTAACATGCAAATAATTTTGCTTTAAAATTTTTACTGCATTCTAATATGTGTTGTCTTTAAATGAAAATCCTGTGTGGCCTCTGAAGACCATTTATAGAAGGTTGATCTATGGCTAAACAAATAATGTGTATTTCAGTTATTTTAATTTTTAAAGGTACATTTTAGTGTAGGAAGTCCCAGCAGGCCCATTATTGGACGTTAACAGGCTACTCTGAAAAACTAATTAAAGGTGTGGCTGTCTCGGAAGTGCCAGAGGTGTCCTTGCTGTGTGCTTGTATTGATTTAAACTCCCACACAGAGCATGTCCTCTTCATGCCATATATGTGCAAGATTAATACTAGAAACGAATGCAGCCGACTGGAAGTTCAGTTGATACAAATTGTGTGGCATGTACAGTGCAGTTCTTTGCTGTTGGCGTGTGCTCAGTTCGTATATAATCAGTGACGGTATGTTGATATGATGCAGACATTTGAAGCTTTGTTTATCATTAGCTAATGGACTAGTTTGCATTACGTGTGGAATTGTTAGGCTCTGTGCTAATTTGCTCCTCAGGTTTAATTCAGGTTAAAAGCATCAAACAACCAGACTTCAAGACTGCACTTTGTCTGTTACAAATACTTTCCACAATACAGAGCAGAGCAGCTGGCATGACCCAAAATGTACAGTCTTTGTCATATCCTACTTAACTCTGGCCGAGTTTGTCACCCACACATAAATCTTCTCCTCGGTCATGGTCCAACAGTTACTGTGTGTTGGCTCCGGTGTGAGCATGACAGCCTCGTCGTGCAGGGTGGCAGTGTGTTGGGATGGGGAGTGGTCAGGGCAGTGCAAGAACTCGGTGTTGCAGAGTCCACTTCCTGCGCACCATCCACCCTCATCCTCTCACCCTGTCGCCATATGTTCAGATGCTGGCCAGAGGAATCGCCGGCGCATTGGGGTGGATCAGACGACCCCACTGAGGGAGGGAGAGCAGGGGGGGGCATGGCAGGGGGTGGCCTGCCACTCAACTTCCAGCACAGGTCAGTACAGGACCGCATGAGCACCTCCTTCTCCCCCTCCTGCTCATACCCTCCATGCTGAAGGCAGCCCTCCCCCAACTCAATCCAGCAGTGACAGTATTGGTGGACAACATTACATATTTAATGCTAGACACATAACTCTTACATCAAAGCGCCTCACAGAATAATCTCACAGAAAGGCACTCTTCCATGGCCCGCAGTGGGAGCACAATAAGCCCGTCACCATAGTCCCCTCATTAATACTGCAGGGAACATTCACAACTGGAATTGGTGTTGCGGTCAGGTGTGGCCAAATCATGTTCATCTGTGGTTGTTTTCACCTTGTTGTCAGTGTTGTTTGGAAAAGAAATGCTTTATTTCGTTGTGATCCTGAGGTTCTACTTGTTTCATTTCCCCATTCATGCTCATCAGAAACTGAAGCCTTGCTGGTTTTGTTTTTTTCCTCACGTTTGCACTTTTTCAATAACCTATTTATGTTTTTACCACTGTTACCTGTTTTTTCAATAAACTATACTTGTTGGGATTTGTAAAACTATTAGTAGAACACATCAATACAAAGTGTTTTCTGCAATCTTTAGAAGTAGTTTTAGAAAATGGAGGGTTAACACCAAATCATATATTTTACAAGATAACCTAATTTTACGACGGCACTGCAAACAGTCACACTGTTACTAGAGTTAAACAACACCCCTCTGACAAGCACAACAATGAAGTAACATTGTAAGCTAGATAGGTGTAGCATGCTTGTATTACATGCTTAGTTGGATTTTTTACTTGGGTTAGGCCTTTCTGAATGTAAAAAATGTTTTAAATGCATTTGTATATGCACTCTGCACTTGTGTAATATCAGGAAACATTTATTGGCATAATATGTCAGACATATGTCCGAGTATGTGTGAACTTGATGAACAATAATTACACTTAGACTATAGTGCCATTTAGGATCATATTAGGAACGGAGAAGTAAGCTACATGGGCCTGTGTGGGTGCATTTGAATTAGCGGGATATTTGTAGTAGTCTGATTTGATTACGGTGAACTGTAGAAGTTTGTCCCTTTCTCATTTTAATTGGCAATAAAGAGAATGTTTTTTGATTAAATTGAAACTTAATCCTAATCCGCTTTATCAAGTTACCATCTACTTTGATGGTACAGGTCTTTCTGTAAGATTTAGAAATGAGATTACTGTGTATTAACTCCTGGAATCTGGTGCTCGGTAATCATGACCTCAGGTTTGTCACCATTACACAGTGCAAAGCATTCACGTCTTCCTAGTTTCCGATTGACTCATCGGGGCTGTTTCTGCACTTTGAGTGGCATTGGACCACTCAAAGTGCATTCAAACAACATGGCTCTGTCCTGCTGTGTTGCCCTGTTGAAATGCTGTATGGATAACACATCCACCTCCTGTACCTCTTTTTATGGGGGAGGACATGGAATGACTTGAGATAGAGGTCTGTTTATCGTAATCCTCCTCGCTCTCTCCCTCTCTTATTCCCTCTTCTCTCTTACAGGAAGCATGCCCTGAACTGTCACAGAATGAAGCCAGCCCTCTTCAGCGTTCTCTGCGAGATCAAAGAAAAGACGGGTGAGTTTCTACTTCACTCGTTATCTTCCTGTTTTCCAGTCGGCACCGGTTCTAGTCCAATGTTGAGATCTTTTGTCAAGTTTACCTGGCGCCAGGTTACTTTTGAGTAGCCTGGCAGAGAACTCTATTGACCTTATTGGGTGTGATTTAGCTGCATGTATTGTTTATGCTTTGGTTACACATCATTTGTAATACGCATTACCGATTGTTGTTTTGTCCTCGTGACTAGAGAAACCTAACCTATTTTGACGGCTGATCAGACTTCACACTGGAACTAATCTCAGTGGATTGGTGTCTTTTTGACACTTGAATTCATCAGTAGAACTTGCTGGAGAACATGCCGACCAGCCGGAGTTCACACACTTATTTATCCGATGGCAAGCGGAGTAACTGAATTCAGAAACACACTTTGCATTTCTCGGATGGTGCAACCAACAGGCTGCTACAGCTGGTTGAATTGGACTAGTTGACAGCAGGCACATAGGAAAACTACACTGGGGTTATTGCTTTACAGTCAAACTGTTACGCTATTCCAGGTCAAAGAGCGGTTATTTTCTCCCACATTATTAAAACAACTATAAGACACAGGTTGGGTGATTGTGTATTGGGAATAAATTGATACACATATGAATGCAGTATCTTCTTATCTTTTATATTGACAATATAAAAATCTCAATTTTTCTCTTACACCTAGAATTATTCTATGTTTACATGCTTCTTATTCTCATCTTGTTAGCTATTCAAGTCAGCTATGTGACAGATTCTAGTGTGGGCGCAGGCGCAGGCATTGGATGGATGGCAGATTAATGGTTGTGGTAGTGCAAATGGGGTGCGTTTTCAAATCCTCTCCCTCTGCAAGTCTCTCAGCGTTGTGTTTTTCTCTCTTCCAGTGTATCTTCTAACAGCAAACCTCTTTGTGTTCAAATAGAATTTGAAAATGCTGCACTGCTGCCTGTTGTGGCCATTTGTCAATAATGCATTATTGCTCTCCAGTGATTGGACAAAAGTAAAGGCAAGGCTAGAGTGAATGGGGCAGGGTACACTGTTTCCCAGGCAACCAGTGGTCTTATTTACCCTAATGCCATTCACTTTGATTTTCACATTTAGTCTCCCAGCAAACTAGAGTGTCTTGAGTATTTTTGCAATAAGCTGAGCAGAGAAAAAGACAGACAGGGTATAGATGTAGCTTAACAAAAGATTCATGCCATACGTAAGCTACAGAGGTCTTTGGTTCGCATGTACTCTACTGGCCATCTGCCACGATGTGACCTCCTATCTGCACCGTGTACCTGCTTTACCATTTCACTGCTACTCCATCAGACCCCCTGCAGGCCTCATTATGTGCCTTTGGAATGTGACTTTGCTTCTCCTCAGTGCAGCTTGTGGAAGACCCAATCAGTAGTCCTATAGTATCTCCACAGATTTTCTGCAGTCTTCTTTCACTAATAAACATGCACTTGTGTCTGCACACCCACATACGCACTGTGTCTCTCTTGCACACAGGCGCGCACACACCGAAAAAGGATAAAAGCTAACTCTGTCTTGGGTCTACTCTTACTGCCTCGGTCTTGTCCTCTTCCCCCTCCCTCCCTCCCTCCCTCCGTTTGCCTCGCTCCCATTCTTGAAAGAGAAGACTTGCTCTGAACTCCGGGCTTTGATATGGTAATGTAATGGTGGAGGAAGGGAGGTGGGTTGTGGGGGATGGGAGGTGAATTCCTCTGAGTGCTGCAGTTGGTTAGATTGTTTTCATTGTAAAGGAAATGTTCTGCGCAAATGCCAGTCCCCCCCCCCCCCACACCCCACCCCCCGCCCCCTCTCCAAAACCCTCCCGTTTTTAAAACAGTGCCTGCGTTGTCCTGAGCTCTCGAGTTAAACACCACCTCCGTCTGCGTGAAATTTGATTCCTCTTAATGCGTTTATTAAAGATGTACTCCCAAAAACGAAATGTAAGCAATTGGAAAAAGACAGAAAAATGATCAAAGTTGAGAGCCAGTGGCTTTGCTTCAACTCCGTTCTGTTCCCCCTCGCTCTCATGGGTATTTGCTGTAAAAATAGCTCTTGGTGCAATGGGACAGCTTATGCCAAAATCTCTCACAAGCCACTGCAGTTACTCTCAGAAGTTCTTCATTAAGTTTGGGTATGTTTTGAGGCATTTCTTACTTTTATGCATTCCTGGTGCTTTACACACGACAACAGTGAATCTGTCACTCACTCAGTCTGTTCTGTCGCCCTGCTGAAGTCCTTCTCTTTTAAGCCTGAAAACACCCAGTTGTTTATTTTTGGACAGATTTAAAAGTAAAGACTACTTTTCGTCAAGCGGCATTAAAGCTTTCCAGTTGTTGTTTTTTTTTAGCTCGGAGTCTCTCCCTCCTCCCCTCAGTTGGATAAGTTCACACCCCCAACACTTGCCACTCATCTTGATAAGCTGTCTGATAAACAACTCTGTGAGATAATGCTGCTGGATGGCTTTGTAGAGATGGTGGCTAGATCCTTACCTGTGTAAAACTGAAATGGCTTACCTCCGTGTCACACCTTATTAATGCAAATCAATGTCAGACAATTCTTTTCTCATGCAAGTATCTAAAAACCACCACCCATACAGGCCGTGTATCCCGCAGCAGTAGTGAGGGTTTAATAACAAGTACACGCTGGCCAGCAGCCAGCAGGATGTTAACTTCAGCCGGTAGATTGCTCTGCTAGGTGTCCTAACATTGTCTCAGGCCGTGGGTATCTGCTTTCTGGCTCTCCCACAGAAACTCAATGCTCCTTTGCGTTATCTGACCAGCCCCTGACTTTTGAGAGGCTTTTGTAGTTTATTCATCAGATTGATTTGACTGATATTTTAACAATATTGGATGGAAATGTCTTATTTTTTCGAAACACATATAAGCACCAAAATCTCCCGTCGGCACCTGCCGCCAGAGCCAGCAGCACGCAGCTAGTGTGATGGCAAAGCAGCTAGCTGACAACCCGTCATCACATCCCGTTAACGTTATGAGAAGATGGATGAGTGGCGAGATTAAGCCTACTGCACAAACTCGCTCTGTGGTTTGTGTTTTTCAGTGCTATTCCTGCTAAGATGTTTAGCATACGTTAGGGTATTGATAATACATGGGTATTATGTATTTTATAATACATGGGTATTATCAATGGTTACAAATACGATTTGAATCAGTTCATCATCATCAAATGTAAGAGCTTGATTTTTAGAGAAAGGTTTATCTGAGTGGAAATCCATATATTTTCTGTCTGCCAATACACTATCCCAAAAGCCTTTCAGTTAGTCACTAAGCTATCACATCAGGTTATATTGCTATTAAGCAACAAATGTTACAAATGCTCCTTTGTTGTCGTAACGTAGTAACAACCTGAGTGGTGTCCTTGCCCTGCTGTGGCAAGGACAAAATACTATTTTGGCATCAAAATGGTTCCAATTACAAGCTAATTGAATCACAGCATAATTATATTTGTAAAAACAACAAAGAAAAAACAACATAAAAAGTCACACCTGTGTGTTATTTCACACCCTAGAAACCTTTTAGGAATCGGATTTAAATTGTGTGTGTGTTTATTTTAGATGCCTCGCATTGGTTGACAACAAAATATCGCACACACGTGTTGTCCTGTTGGCAGCACTCTTGGGAAAAAACCTCTCCAGCTTTACCATGGATTTAGATGTTTGTAGTGCACAGGCTTTGACAGACCACAGTACATGAAGTCTAGTGAATGACATGCCTCATTAAAGCAACTTGATTATTATTAGTTCTCAAAGAGCCCAATTTGGAATAGAGCCATAACCTTTTATGAGTTGTTAGGAACCTGTGGGAAGTCTTATTATATTTTTATGATGGAAAGCATACATTGCCTTTTAACCCAAAAGCAATAACAAGATGAAAATAGTTTGTGGTAGAAATGTGAGCTATGTGAAGCTACCAAACCTGCGTTGTTGGTTTTACTATCTGGTTTAAAACAAGAACAGGTCATCCACTTTTGTAATGCCGCACCAACCTTTCCCTCGGTCAAATCCTCTGCTATTCTATTTTAAACAGTGAGTTTTATATTTACGAGCACCAGGCAGTGGTGCTGGATTATCTCGTCGGCTTTTCAAGATTCTCTGTTGTTTTTGTGGTGTCCTGCCACTCAATTGTTTTTTTTCTCCCCCGGCCTCTCTGCAGAAGAGAACGAAAAAGAGATAGTGTGTTGGGGGGTTTGCAGGAGCGATACAGGGAGATTGATGAGGCAGTAAGAGCAGGAGTAATTACTCGATGTCCATTCCCCAAGCCAGATTGGCAGACGGCTAATATCACACAGACCCCTGGCCCTGACAGACACACCACCACCACCCCCACCACCCAAGCCAAAGTGGGGAGGTAGCGCGCCCCAACCTTCAGCGGGGGCCTAATGGTGTGTGGGCCAAGTGATTTCCCCATGTGGTATAATTCCTGTAGGAACTGGACCTCTGTATATTGATGAGGGAAACGGCTGTCTGCAGTGTTTTTAGGATGGGGGGAAAATGTTCACCTTAAAGACGGCTTCCGATTTTGGCTTTTTTAGTCAGTCAGTATTTCACAGAGATAGGAAGAGAGATTATAGGAAGAGGAGGGAAAACGTGGGTCAACAATGCAAAAGCATTTGGCCATTTGAGTGCTGGAAAACCCCAAAACCCCCAAAACCCATGCCATATTTCATCGGGGTTCCTTACCTAATTAGAAAGGGCAGCAAATAAAACCAGCGGGCATACTGGTGACAGACATTTGAAGAATTTTAATTGGCCCAAGTGACGGGATAAGCACCGTGTTCTGCACACGTTATTTTATTTTGAATTAACAAATGTCCATGAATTTAAGCCCCAAAACAAGAAACAATGAAATATCAGTGAACAGTATTGGTCAAGGATGGCCCACCGAGAAGACTCCTACCGCTTCATCTCATCTGCTCTTCCTCTCAGCATGTCTGTGCCTCTCCCATTGCTTTCAGGCTTTACTCTTAAAAGAAGGCCT